GCGCGCACGCAGCGCTTGCGTTCCGCTGGCGGCGCGGCGCAGACCTTCGCGTGCCAATACAGCGCGCCAAAGCCCTTGCGCGGTCGCGCGCGGTGCGCGCCGAGCTCCGCGGCCGCCGCGCGAGGCACGTGCAGTGCGAGCGCGTCGGCGTTCCCAAGCCGCGCGAGCGCCGCGCCGGGCAGCTCGACGAGCCGGCGCAACGAGCCGGCGAACACCAGCAGCTGCGCGACGAGCCGCGCGCCGACAACGCGCGTCGCAGCTGGCAGCTGCGCGGCGCAACGCGCCTCGAACCGCTCCAGCGCCGCAGCGCGCTGCGCGGCCACTGCGTCTACGCTCGCGCGCAGCGAGCGCACCGCCTCGAGCTCCGCGGCGTCGAGGTCGGCGCCGTCCTCCGGCGAGTAGCAAAGAAAGAGCGCGACGAGCGCACTCTTCGACAGCCGCCCCTTCAGCAGCTCCACAGCCGCGCGCGGGTCCGCGCACTGGTTGCCCGCGACCGCCGCAAACTCGCAAAACTCGAACAGACTCAGCGGCGGCTCCTCGCGCAGCACGCAGCGCTTCGCGTACACTGCGCGCAACCGGGCGTACGCGGCGAGCAACTCCGCGTCCGCCGCGCGCACCGCCGCCAGCGCCGCCGCCAACTCTGCGTCCAGCGGCGCGTCTGCCGCAGACTCTGCCGTAGCGGCCGGCACTGCCGAGCGCGCGTCCGCCGCGTCGGCGCCGGCGTCGGGCTCATCCACGAAAAGCGCCTCGTCGTCCAGCGCGTGCATCGCGATCGCGCCGCTCTTGCGGCAATTAATTCGGAAAAAATTGCGCAGTCACAGTTTTTCAACCGTGAGCTCCGAAGTGGAGGTCGGCGAACTCGCCGCCGCCGGCCGCACCGTCACCAGCATGTGCGGCTTCCGCGGCCGGTCCTTCGCTTCGCGGCGCACGCACAAGTTGAACAACATTTGCTCCTCCGCCTCGTTCCCCGAGTGCTTCAACACCACGTTCGAGGGCTTGTTCGCGGCCTTCTCGCGCCAGAGCAGGTGCGCGTAGCCCGGCTCCGGCTGCGCCACTTCCGTCGACAGCCGCGGGCCGGCGCGCGGCGCGCTCGCCGGCTCGCACGGCTCGCGCGGCTCGCCAGCCACTTCGACAAGCTCCGGTAGCGGCGGCTCGCCGAGCCCCCGCCCCAGCGCCACGGCCGAGCCGTGGCGCAACAGTTCCTTGTTCGCGCGGCAGGCGGTCGTCAAGCCCTTGATGTGCGCGCGGACGCGCGCGTAGAGCGTCGCGTCGAAGACCTGCGCGGGCGCGAGACTCGCCAAGCGGATCTGCTCTGCGCGCACGTGCTCGACGACATCCTGCGTCAGCTTCTGCAAGTGCCGCGCATTGTCGCGCTTGATCCGCGTGTGCACCTCAAACAAGTTCGCGATCAGCTTCTTGTCGACGAACGCGCTGATCGCGCGCTCCGCCTCCGGCGCGCCCGCGAGCGCCACGGCCGGCGCGCGCAGCGCTGCCTGCGCGGCGCGCTGCCGCTG